GCAAGTGAAGACGTTATTAGAAAATGAATGAGATGAGACACTGTGAAGTGATATTCGAAGATTCGACAAAGGAAAGCATGTTAATTTATAAGATGCCCCATAATTCCTTGCAGAGCCCACGTGGTCGCATCTCAACAATAGACTGAGCGAATGGTATATGTTTAAAGGTAGGAGCATGATCTGTCTAGGCGATCATTATTATCCTTTTCAAGAAAAAGATCCAGGCCCTCATAAAACTCTCGAGCCGTCAAATTGCATATTGCTGTTCCTGCAGAATGTGGCGATTCACCTTAGTGACCACCACCATATGCGCCACCCTCCCTCCTTTTATGATGTTAGGCTCTGATTGTTATGGCTACAGCAAATATATTGCTTGGTTCCAGACACGTTCGTACCTCACATTCCATTTGCCTAGCTTTCTTAGTGAGTGCTTCCAATAGATCTCCACGTACAGATTTATGAACACATTATATATGTGTGCATGCGCCCTAATGAACAGATTAGTTTTAAGATGTTAAAACCTTAAAGAGTAAAAAGAATAGGTTTTGTGAATAGTGGAGCAAGACTCAGCAGAACACTATAGTTAGAGTTCAATGTAGGTAGTATGAACTGAAGGTAAAACATATTATAAAAAATATTGACACAGAGCCAACAAAATTTTAACATTTGGTTAACAATACTGCAGTGTGTGTATACTGAAGGAGGGTAGTTGGTCTTACAGGGAGCCGTAGAGTAAATCAAACTATATATGATAAGGGTGTAATCAATATTATAATTCGTATTATCAAAGAATACATTCAGCTCAATAATTGAGTGTTATAAGGGGAACAAGCGTGGAAAAGCAAGAGAACATTTGCAGCATAAATATTTTAATCATTTTAAGTATTGTATTGACAATAAAATTTCAGGAATTGATCATGAGTAATTACTAAGTGTTATTATGTTAGTATTGGGACTAGCGTGCTTTGCGTAGTTAAATATTGAAATGTCATTGTTTCACAACACTACCAGCAGTTGTGATCTTTTAGACGGGCTAGGGTGGACATGTTAATATGTTTTTCTAGGCTCCTTTAGAAACTGTCAGGCTTTTCACAGGATCTAATCTCAGAGGGTAGTTGGTTCCAAGGTTTGTAATATAATTTATGGTGAAAAAGTTAGCTCTAGTGGTGAGTTTATGGGTGTTAACCTTGAGAAGGTAGTCATGGTTGCGTAGTCCATACGATTTAAGATTAGCCCACGTTATGGATGAGTTACTGTTACAGTGCTTTCTTATAACTTTGAATACGAGAAATAAGTTGCACTTCACTCTCCTTAACCATAAGGGTTCTAAGTCCAGTCGAATACATCTGTCAAGGTATTCTATTTGCTGATCATAGCCTAACATGCGTTTCGTCAGGAATCTTTGGACACTTTCAACTTTTTTCTGTTTGCTGATTTAAAGCTACTGTATGAGTGGGCACAGTATTCAAGTTTGGGACGAATAGATATCGTATATATAGCCGATCTGGCTTCTGGAGTGTAAAAGTTGCGTAGCGCAAAGCCGGTTAGACGTTGACAGTCAGATACCACCTTATTTGCATGTTCAGTAAAGGTAAGATCTGAGTATATTACACCGAGATCTGTGACGATGTTCGTGTTTGAGACAAGGTCACCGTACATGTATTGACATATGCTAGGTTTCCAACGTCCGAAGTATGTTATCCCAGACTTAGCCGGATTGAACGTTAACTGCCACTTTTCACTCCAGTTACATAGACTATTTAGGTCTTGTTGGATTTTACTAGCAATATTCACATCATTATAGTCGAAATCATATGCAACTTTGAGGTCATCTGCAAAAAGGTACGGCTTGCCATACTTCATCACAGAGACAATTTATGAATACAATGAATAGGGTAGGACCAAGAAAGCTACCTTGTATCTCGCCGCTGGTTATTGGTTTGGATGTAGATAAACGATGGTTGATTTCAACTAACTGTTCTCTTCCTGTAAGAAAGGAAGTTATCCACTCGAGTAGCCTTCCACTTATTCCATAAGATAGGAGTTTCAATATGAGTCTCTTATGTAGGACCTTATCAAAAGCTTTCCTAACATCTAGAAATAGAGTTGCTGCCAAACGAACTTTGTCTACACATTCCATTATCTGGTGGAAATAATCTAACTGGCAAGTGATGCACGACCTTCTATTTAAGAAACCGTATTGGAAATGGGATATTAAGTCATTCGAAAGCAAATACTGAAGAATTTGCTTCCTTACAATCATTTCCATCACACGTGAAACCACGGAAGTGATGTCGATGGGGCGGTAGTTATCTATGTCTGCTGTAGGTCCGGTTTTGTGAATGGGTACAACGTAAGATTTCTTCCAGCTATTTGGATATGGAGGGTTTCATCATGAGCTGACATCAGTTAGAGAACCACTGGAAAACCTGGGAGTGCTGGACAGCTGTTTCATCCTAGTTTGGGACTCTTTAGCAGTACGCGCCCACCGGGATTCGAACCCAGGACCTTCTGGTTACAAGGCGAGCTCGTAGACCATTGAGCCACTGGGACCCGATCCAATGGTCCTGGGTTCGAATCCCGGTGGGCATGTACTGATGAAGAGTCCCAAACTAGGACGAAACAGCTGTCCAGTACTCCCAGGTTTTCCAGTGGTTCTCTAACTGATGTCAGCTCATGACGAAATCCTCTATACAATTAAACAAAATCCCTACCAAACCAATATTTGAAATTATTTGGATATGTTCCACTCCTTAGCGAAGTTGAAAATATCTTGGGGAGAAGTAGGTTCATGTCATTTCCACCATTTTTAAGAGGACGGAAGACATTCCACCTGGGCCGGGAGTATTAGTAAGCTTAAGAGTTGCGATAGCTTTATCGATTTCTTGGGCCAAGAGAGTGGAAAAGAGCCCTCATCCCTACGATCTTCAAGGTGGAGATGGGCAAAATGCCACTAGTTATAAACCATTAACTCTACTCCCAGTTCTATCAAAAGTACTGGAATATATTGAAGTGATTTGTAGTGATATAACTGTGCGACAAGATGCAGTGAAGTCTTTCATATCCGTAAGTCAAGTTTTCAATTTGCAAATTAATTTAGAATATAAATATTTCGAGGTGAAATCTCACTACAGTTTCCTCTGGGGAAAAACGTTATTCAGATCACAGTGTATGACGTGTGTGATGGGGCAAACAGTAATCAAGGAATCAAGCATAACTGCATAAGACTAAATATTACTGAATAATTGATAAGCCCGAACCGTCAATATCTCACTAGTCTGGAGATGGCGGAAACATTCCGTTGAGCCTTCAGCAAACAGTTAAACAGCAATGTGGGTATTACCGGTACGGACCAAAATGGTGGCACTACCATTTCACCCGAGAGAAACCCAGTGGCTACTCCCCCAATAAACCCGTCATAGCACTAAGGAAGCTACAGCGACTCACACCTGGGAAGTCCTCAGGTTGTGACGACATCAGGCCATCTGTTCTAAAACAGTGCACCGAAACTCTCTGTGGGCCCTTATGCGAGTCCGATCAACTTGGTACAGCTCGTCATCAGGAGTATCGCAGGGTTCTATCTTAGGACCACTGATGTTTTTGATTTTTATAAATGACCTACTATGCCATGTAAGCGGACGAACTCTTTCTTACTCTGACGACGTAAAGATACGGAGAGCAAAAAGGTGTCCGGAAGACAGACCCAAAAATTCTGGAAGACTGGGTGATGGGCAGCGGTATGACTTTCAACCTGAAAAGGTGCAAAGTAGTGGAATTACGCACCTGTAGGCTGCGGAATGCAAGTTACATCCTGTGCAAGGAAGGCTTGTCCTGCGCAACGTCGGAGCGTGACTTAGGTCTAGCTCTAACGGGAAAATTGGACACAAGTGTGAATTACACTGGGGATGTCACGGAGACATATGCGGTCATAAATTGTACACATAGACAGTTAGGTGCGCTCACTCCTGAGCTCTTTATAAGGTTGTACAAAACATACATCAGACCACACCTTGAAGTGAATGATATCATTGCACCCCCACTGCTTAGAAAAGACGCCAATCTCTTGGAGAGAGTCCAAAGATGGCCACAAAAGGAGTGGTTGGTCTCCGAAATAAACCGTATGATGAAATTAGGCCTATTCACACTTAGCTCCGGTCGGCTTAGGGGGGATGTGATTACTGCCTACAAGATAACAAATGACCAGGATCACATATACAATGGTGTTCTGCTGTTGAGTAGGTATAGGCTTCCTCGTGGAAATCCCAGAAGGATAGCTCACCAGAGGGCAAGGACCCGGGTGCACCCCCACTTCGTTCCACTGCGGGTTTGCCGTCCCTGGAACTACTTGCCAGCAGATGTAGCTATGACACCGTCTGTGGATACCTTTAGGCTAAGGCTGGACAATCATACAGCGACACAGGGACTGCGCCCAAATGGCCTGTCTCCTTAAAATCCCATACACCATTCAGGGGTAGACAACTAAATTCATCGTTTTACTTCCTTACATTTTCTCCCGTATTAATCTCCTGACAACTCCAGCTACTACACTTATTATTATTGCTGATATTATACATGCATATCAACTTCAAATTTAATTAGCTGTCTGTTTTTACGTTTTCCTTATTTCTTTTTCTGTATTTTAGTCTGAATAACCTACACTAATTATATCTATTATTACTATCTGTTTTCTTTTGACGACGGTGCCGGAGGACTAACTGGTGGAAGGACCAGCTCCATTAACAGTAGTAACAGTCTTAACACTTCAAGTACTACAAACAACATATAATTAATCCCAGTACTACTCCTTTGCAGTCAACCAAAGCTACGACAGTCGAGTGGCGGGACGAGCTACGTAGAAGTTTACCGAAGATCAGTAAACTTCACCTCACAATCGAGAAGTGAGCACAAGGAAATCAAATTGGTCTACACTAGCTCGTTAAATGATATTGGATTGGAAGTTTGTTTGAATCAGTCATACAATTAGTTGGCATTGAAGCTGTCATCACCGGTTTTTTAATTAGGTTGTTGTAACATGAGTTAAACTTATCACGTAAGCTTCTGCGTTTCTTAATCTTGTAGTAGGGTTATTGTTTCCCATCAGTATAATAGGTGAAATTGTGACCCTTCTAAATCAGTGTAACTTTAGATACAGTCCAATACTAAACACCACTTCTGAGAATTTCTCACATTGGCAATCTATTTTCTACAGTGATAATACTTGTTTCACTTTTATGTGCGGGAAATAATCAAAGTGACAAAAATTTGTAAACAGTATCTTCGCGCTAAGGAAACTGTGGCTCACACAGCGAAACGTTCAAAAAATCTCGTTTTAATTTTTTATTAAACACGCTGTGATTATTGTAAATAATTTGTAACGAAAAGCATAATGTCAAAACATTGGGTCGAATAATGAGACTGAGGTTTCTCTACATCTTCGGGCGCCTTAGTTTCACGATGTCTGTGAAATTTTTACTGGCCGGTGTGATTGAGTAGGTTTATCGTTTTCAGTACAGCAGCTTCTCAGGACTCAGTATCTGCCATTTTCATTTATAAGTGAAAATAACGGAACAACTTTTTGCATTTGGTTTTTTATTTAAAGTCTGCCTTCGATGAACTTTCAGCACAACAATAAAATAGAGTTTGTGCGAAAATATTGTTGTGAGGATAACATTTTCTCTTCATATCCCACAGAAATGCCACGATTTTTTTGTAGATGCCCGAAAGGTCACGTATAAAACTGCTATCACACAACCCAATTTAATGTAGTCTTCTATCTGGAGAGTTAAATTGTGTAAAGTATGGAGTCGACTGTTTTCTGAAGTATGTGTGAAATCAGAATCACTTTAGGCCGACGTAAGCAAAGTGATCACTTCTTTCAACAAAGCCAAACATCAAGCAGACCTAGAATCTAGGCTGCTTACTGACCCTTCACATTACTGACAGACACTTGCTGCACTTACATCTCACTTGTAGCTACAAGGTACTCGGTGTTTGCAGCTTCCTTGAAACTCTTTAACAACTGTTTGTCCACTCCTCAGGATAGTGAGAATAAAGGCTTATGTAAGGCTCTTACAAATAAGATCAAATGGCGTTTACTTAGTGACTATTAGGCCTGCTGATCAAAACGTGAGCAGAGATGGATGCAACAACTGTGAGTGGCTAAAGTCGAAGGTAACTTCGTACCCCCTCCCAGGAAGCATGTCGTTATTGAGGCAGTCTATGAGGTAGGTGGCATGCTGATTAAGGACCTAAAAGATTCCTTGGATGCGAGACAAAGTCTGCGCTGATCCGCAGATTATTAGAAGTATTCAACAGCCTGAAGGCACTCAACACACTGAAGCTACCGCCAACTGTTTTTCAGGGTGACGCTAAGACTCTGGTTATTTAGTTGGCCAGATTGTCTGGCAAGACATATGAAATTGGATTGCCCTCAATGTGGAATCATGTGAAATTTTATGTCTTTAAAATTAGCCTGCGTAATGCATGTAACAATCATTGGTGTATGGATCGGTCACAGGGTGTATCTTATCTATATATTTTGCTCCACAAGCTTTGTATATCAAGTAGAAAACAGGCTCACAGAGAGCAAGCTGGGTTTACTCCAGATTGGGGATACGTCGATCATGTGTTTACGCTACGATAGGTATTAGAACATTGAAACCTTGAGTTTTACTTCTCGACAATACTCCTACCTTCAATCCGACATATAGGACTTTTTTGGATGTCTGTGTTTCGAAAGTTCTTCAATATCCGCAAAGCCCTATGCAAAAGAACTCCAAGCAGGATGGGAATACACAGTCACCTATCGTCACTGTTTCCAACTAACAGTGGAGTTGGGAAGGGTTATCCAATCCAGCAATTTCTTTTTAACCTTTTAATTGGTAAAATTTTAGAGACGTATTTGAAGGATGTAAATGGTGGTAGTGTAGATCCGCTACCTGTAGAATACACACAGTATTGTTTTACTGTGCGATAACATAAAACTACTGAAATCCCACTTCACTATATATAGTCATGTTACATCTTTAGCTCTTTCCAGTCACAAAATACTGTTTCGCGACCAACGAGAACTTTTAATAACATATTCCCACACAGTTGGATTGTTAAAAGTAGTCAAGTTCATGTATCTGGGCGGTTGTGTGAGTGCTGGCAAAAGTGTGATGGATTCTATTTTTAATCTTGTATTGGAAGCTAGGGTGGCATAAGATAACCCAGCCCACCTCTGCAACCATCGTGGCGTTATCCTGGCTATCAAACTTTGGGCACGCTTCACTGAGTGAAGCCCTTGCTTGTACCTTGCCTCTCCGAGCGGCGATCCTGCTCACTCGCACATCACTATCTGGTAGAATTTATCGCACCTACTGGCGTCACCACGTGAGTAAATCTGAGGTCCAGTGGCGTGTTTCGTCATGGAGGGGATCGTCTATATGACACTGCCTCAAGTGTTTTCGATATGCGCTAGGAATATCACCCCAGCGACTCCTATCCTGTCCACAGTTTTCTAGCGCTGAGACTGAATGGGAAAAGGACAAAGGTGGCCAGACCATGAAGTGGCACCTCTGGATAAAAGACCATTGTGTTAATATAGCGTCTGTTTTATCGGGACTCGGTGGATGGATTCCAAGACTCAGTGATTCAGGGTTAGGTAGCCCAGTAGTTCGAGACGTTTTCATATATGGTCCGGAATCAAAATTAATACCAAATATACTGCAATATCCCCGTTCTCTCCGTAAGTATTATGAAGTAATGAGCCCATGTGGATAATCTTGACACATATATCTACTGGTTTTTACTATAATGTTCTTCCGCTATTTTATTCCTATTTGCCTTCCTTCATTATTTTGCGTGGCGGGTCTCTTAGTGTCCATATTGTACCAAGTTTTCATCTTAAATTAAAAGTAAATTCCAGATTTCTTGAAAAATAAAGAATAGGTAAAGAAAGGAATCGCTTATGTAGATGGAGCTTATATGTTCGCATCTACAGACGAGCATTCTAATTTTTCTATCCCACGGAAACTGCAAAAAGTATCATAAGTGAGGGTGTGACTAGAAACCTGGAGTTATCATAAATGGCTTCAATGAAGTAAATGAAGCCTCAAAAACAAGTAGAAATGACTTTCGGAAATCTCTCTGTTTAAATGCTTGTCAAGGGAGTAATTAGTAATGCATGGTCTACAACGAATGGAGTGCAGACCTTTAGAGACTTTCAAGCCTCGTTTCTCATCCTAAATACTTTATAAACACTTAAGGAATAATATATTCTGTAAGTAATATATTTCAATTGCTTGGATACAGAACATATAAACAAAACGATAAGAAGGCGTAATTGATCTGATATGTGACTTCCTTTTGCTTCGTCCAAATTCATAAAGTGGAATAATCGTCCTGAGAAAAGGAAATTTGTTTGTATTGCGTAACTTTTTTCTAGAGTAGTCTAATCCATTGAAAATCCTTGAAGCAGCGTGATTTTTCTGTTTGGACAAAATATGTTTTAAGTACCAGTATCTTTAATTCCTGTCGCTAGTCTGTATGAATTCACTGTATGTCAAAGTGAAGCATTCGCACCCATAACTAACAGATTCGATCTTCGTTTTACCAATTACTTACGAACTTTATACTCTGGGCTCAGGTGCCGTCTCATTTGTTGTCTTACTTTACCATATGTCACTCTTTGTGATCTTTGGAAGAGTTTGCAATATTTAAGATCCCGTTGTGAGGTTGTGTTCTAAACACTGCATCACTTAATATTCAGTAAGATTCACAGTTCGATTGTCAGAAATGAACTACATAGACTTCCATAAGTGAATCTTTTATAGATCAATCTTATCGGCACTCGCCGTGAACTGGAAGTCACAAAATAGAATAGGTCAGTGGAATTTTTTAGAAGTGGCTAAGTGAGAGATAAACCTTGCAAACTCCTACTCGGAAAACTTCCTGTGCGTTGGTGAGGTTATGAGTCTTTTTTCGAAGTTGAGTAGATTGACTCGACGCCATTTTTTATGTTCTACCCACAGAAATATTTTTTTATTGATAACTAGGTAGGCTTATAATTGGTTGGATATTTTTAGCAATCTCAAATACAGCATATATTCTTTACGGTAGCAAAGGAATAAGCTTGGAAATTTATCACACCAACATCTACCAAGCACTCGAATAACTTTTATACTTTTCACCTTTAAATGGAGAATTTCCTAAACTGTAATACGCTCTTCTATGTCGTCTTTACTTTTCAGTTACAGTCCTGCTGAAGATTTTATTGATTATTAACATTGTAGACTTTGTCCTTTCATTTTCCCTAAACCTTACATATTTCAACAAATTAGTACTTTTTCGTTTACATTTTAAACAAAGTCTGACACTTAATAAAACTGATATTTAGTTCGGAATACTATATGCTTGTATAGTTCAGTTTTGTTGTCAGTGGTCATAGTCAGTTTTCTAAGTTTAGATGAATTTAAAGTACTGCATTCCACAAAGTTTTTGTATGCAGAGGTTTCTTCACAAACACAACTAATTTCTGCTTTTTAACCATCGGTTATTGAGAAGTATTTACTGATTTCTCATCTAATTAATATCCTCCTATTTTCCTTTCACTGCTCTTCACTTGAGATCTTAGACTATATTCCTTTTGTTACTGCCTAGAAGTTGGCATTCTGAGAGTATACACAACTTACAGAATTGTATCTAAGGTGTGAATATGATACTTTTATTATCTGTGAAGGCGAACTAGAGACGGCTAATTTACTGATGAATTTCAAATCCTACTATCATAACCTCAAATTTAAGAATAGAACATAAGGGAAGTGATACTATTAGATTGCTAAACGTTTCTCTGGTGAAAAGGGTTAGTGGTACAAATGGAGTATCCGTATTAAGAAAGTTTTCACATAAGAGATTTGTTCCGACCCAGTATAAAGAGAACCTAGTCAGAAGATTTTTCAATAGAGCACGGAAAACCTGTTATGACAGTACATTTGAGTACGAAATAAAGATCCTAAAAGATATTTTATTTAACAACGGATATACTGAGAGGCTTGTAAATAAATATTT